GCATCTTAGTATAAATACCCAACCCAAATAAAACAGTCTTACGCTAAGAAAAAGATAGTGTTTCTGTATATAAACCACCCGTAGTTTGCAATGACTTAACAATGGGTAACATCTATTATGCTAGTGGGTTAGTAGTATTATCTGGTTGCTAAAATCTCAGTAGCTGGAAGTTCGATACCGTGGCATACTTACTGGTCGGAAATTAGGTGCAACAGATCCCCGCCCCCCATTAACTGCCTATACACATGAAAGAACTGTCTATTTGAATTCAGTTAACCCAGAAAAGGATAATAGCCACATCTATATTATTATGCGAGGACTAATAACACGAGCCTGTTGACACAAGTTTAAATAAGTAAACCTAGGTTCGAACCCAACTGTCATTGATTGAAAGCTGAGTAGTCAAAATAAATGAACCACATTTCCACATATACATTAAATAGATATTGATGAACAGTGAGTACTTCAATTAGTCCACACACACACACATACATCATGGTATATGAAAATTTCAATTCGAATAAGAGTTATAACCAACTAACTAATTGATTAAACGTTATCTTCAAAGATGAAATCAACGAATAGATTATAATTGAGTCATTAATAATTTTCACAGTGTTACGTTAGTGAATTGATCGATATGCCGATCAATTCTGCAAGTAAATAACACCTAATACTTTCATTGTCTTAGTGGAGCAGTGTGATCGAGGTGTTTGGCTACCAATCACTGGGTAGTCATGGCGTTGAACACCAATTCGTCGTCTTTGGTTTGGACTGCAAGTATTACATTGTAATTTTAGATCGTCTCTCACTAAAAAATTCTTTATTTCATTTATTATCATTATAAACCTTGTCGTGCGTCGGTGGTTCACCGGTGGAGCGCTGGCCGACAAGTCACGCGGTACGGGGTTCGAGGCCCAGCCAGTGTACACAATTACCTCCCTTAACCGGTTACAATCCCGACAAAAAGGGAACATTGAGCGTGAGGCTAGCAACCTCACCACCGCTACTGAAACTTCAAAGCTAGAGCTTGAAGCCCTATGTTCTACTGGGAACGTGAAGGAATAAAAAAATAATAAACCTTAACGTTTAAAAGGTACTGACCATCTATACTAGTAGAAATATTTCATTCCTTTTCTTATAGTCCAAGTGTTTTTGTTTGTCTGTTCCGTACTGTCAACTAGTTGATATTAAATGGTTGGAGGCAATCGATACGAAGCCTTAGGCCCAGCTTTCGTGTTTGCTGGACACGCTTTACAAGGTGTATCTGCAACCTTAAAGGGACTCATATCCCTTCTGAGATTCGAACCCGCGTCACCCAGTGCTGCAGTTAGAGATGTTATCGCTGACTAGTGTACAATCAAAGTATCTTTCAGTAGGTCAATCGAGAGCCCAGATAACTCAGTGGTGATACATCTGACTGAAGAACTGGGTGATACGGGTTCGAATCTCAGAAGGGACATGAGTTCCTTCAAGGTTGCAGATAAACCTTGCTGATGAGTGACAGCTAGTACGAAACTAAAAACAAGCAAGGCATCCTGCCGATTGTCTCCAACCATCTAATATCAACAATTCAAAGTGCACCGTGATGATGAGCCACCTAGAATGGTGGCCACATTGCAAATTCAACTGACTGGTAGAATTCAGTCTGCACCAAAGTCTGCAGGACTAGACGCATTACACTAGCTACTGACTAGTGTCCAATCAAAATATTGCCCACTCGGCTAAATCGCTTGCGTAAACACGTGACCCGTCATACACATCTAATACTAACAAAAAAAAATTTTCAAAAACAAAAAGGCTCAGCCTCTCCACATTCTCTCGCCCTCTCTCTCTATTTTTTTTTCAATGACTCATAGGCAGACATGGTAGGTCACAAAGACAGTAGATATATATAGACAAAATTCGATAATAAATCATACAAACGTGTGGAAAATGTGTACATAATTCCGCTTATCAAACTTGCATGACATGTAACTAAATAAAAACGCCTACGCTTTCTGAGTGAATAGGACATCGGATTGTAGTTTCAATGACGCATATTGACTAACACAAAATTACAGTTAGATCATTGAAGACTGCATACAAAATATATTATAAAAGTGAAATAAAGGCCTTAAAGAATCTTAACACCAATGCTACACTGACAATTCAAAAATCAATAAGACCATGTAATAAATAAAAATAAATAAATAAATAAAGTGTTGGTTTGCAGGTACTCGATTGACTTCCAAATGGATCAGGAATTGAATTCAGTTAGGGAACCAATGTAAACCACCACGGAGTAATGGACATATGTTTCCCCCTAGCTTGGTACTCTTGAGCAGTATACATACATAACCCCACAAGGGATTGGACCCAGAACTTTCAGGTTACAAGTCAAGCTCATTGAGCATTTAGCCTCTGGAACGGAATCAGAAAGGCAAGCGAATTCTAACTTCTGCCAATTTACGATGTATAGCGCAAGTGATGTCAGTTCGTGATCAAACGAATCCCTGCAAACCAGCACTTGAAAATTAATCTAATACCCACTAGTGACTGACTAGTGGGCAGGCGTAGATTTTAACTGCTGTAAGTTCATGATATACTGCCACCGCTAGCTAGTCTTAACGATGAATATGTATCCCCATACCCAGGCTTAGTGAACCCTACCAGTCACGACTTCTCATTACACTTCCATGAAATCCATCCTTTATTCAGTTACTTCCAAGTAGTGGATTAAGTTTCAAGTAGAATTACACGGATATGATAGATTTCAAGGTTCGATGAATAGCTGCCACCTTAGCGTGGTGATCAGGCTTGTATACCTTAATGACTCAATGACTTACATTGGCTGGAAAGAATGTTCTTACAGGTCTTATCCATGCTAAAAAAAGTTAACTAGATAGCGTTTAAACTGAAAGCATTTACGATCAGAGTGTAAGTCATTTACAATATATTAGAGGTCTATGGAGAAAAGTCGTACTGTTGGTGAACAGAGATGTAACAGTAATAAGATGTTTCCCTCAGATGACTAGCTCAGCTCTTGAAAGAGAGGATTAGAAAAGGTCGACCCTGAAAATTATACATCTCAACCCACCTTTCCCAAAGTACATAGACGGCGATAAGATCTTAATAATAATAATAATAATAATAATAATAACAGCTTTGTTCCAAACAGTATTTGTGGTACAGGTATGGAATTTTCAGCGTGCATTACAATATACTGCATCTAAATACCTCATAAATTTTTTAAGATTTTAAAATCAAAAAGCAACATCCAAAAAAAAGAAGATAAATAAAAAGAAAAAGAAACATCGTTGCGTTTACATTTCAAAGAATGCACCACAGGATATGAAGTATAAAATTGGAGTGTAATAGAAGATAAGAACAATGATGTAATACTAAAGAAGAAAGGAAAACAAAAACTAATGGGACTATTTTTTAGAGTGCCGCAGTAAGTTGATCGTGTTATACCTAACGGATTTCTCATCACATAACAGCTGTGCCAGATATGGTATTGTGGAGGTTTTGTATTTGGTAGCCCTAGCATATAGCCTCCTATAGCTGCTTCTAGTTCTACCAGATGAAATGCAAGGAGACAGCTGCGTATAGAGAGGATGCTCGGGGTCTGACAATATAGTATTCGCTAGTTTCTTACATGATATTATATGTCTATCCACAATAGTGTTAACCAGTTGGTTTAACGATATCCCACTTACCTTACTAACGGCTTTTAGTGCCCTTCTCAGCAAAGCAAAGTCTTTCTCAAGAAGTCCAGGAAAGATTATTGGGGAGCAGTAAAGGGGGATGGGTAGAATACAAAAATTGACAAACTGAGAAAGCAAAGACTACTTTATACCAGACTGCCTAAATTTCCTAATGTAGAACGTTAAGCGAAGCATCTTTCTAGTAACTAGCAAGGTGTAGGAGGACTGGGAAAGATCTGTGGAAAAACTCAGCCCAAGGTACTTGACATTGCATGTATTTTCAACCTCTATGCTGTCAATGATAGTGGGGCCATGTGAGCTAACTAGTTGCTGTAGGTCACGGTTACGTCTGAAAGTGAAATTGACTACCTGACATTTAGACGGATTAAGCTTAAGACCGTTTGAAGAGGACCACTGACTAATTTCCGACAAAAAGTTATTTAATTTGAAACAATCTGACTGAGAGTTGACAGGCACAGAAACAGAGAAGTCATCGGCACACTTAACAAAAGTGGCACAAGTGCAAAAACCAAGGTAGATACACCACCATATGTTAACCTAAAACCTCGATCTAAAACCAATGGTTGGAGACAATTAGTGAAATGGCTCAAAATCGTTCTCAATGACAGCGCAGATGCATCCACTACTTGTGACTTATAATTTCCTATGAAAATATATTGTTCTTCGTCATTACTATTCCTTTGTCCCACACCTCTGTTTACTGTCCCTATTATGCATTTCTTCTACCTTCTTCTCTTGCTTTATGTGCTACAAGGAGGGAGTGTGGAGACTTGAACTCCCGCACACCGGTGCAAAGTTCTATATCGAAAACAGACAGACAGACCATAGACAGTGATAAGATCTTAATATGGACACAAGTGCAAAAACCACAGTTGATGCACCACCAAATGTTAATCTAAAATCTCCATCTAAAAACTTTCTGTTACATTTCATTTCATTAAGCTTAATTACTGACTTTTCACATATTATCGAGAGTGGTTCGAATCAATAACAATTAAGACGAATAGACAGTTGTTATACTTAGTTACCATCTGGCGACTAACCCGTATGCAAAACCTACACACACACACACAAACACAAGACCATGAAGTCTGCACCATTAAAATAATTAAATAATCTGATTTAGGTTTATGCATTAGGCGTATAATAAGGCAGAATCTATTTTGTCTGAAATAAAATAACAACACTGAAAAGTTGTCTTCCTCTGAGATACACGAATACTTGAAAACACGTTAATCGAAAGTCAAAATACCTGTGGATAGAAAGCAGAAATAATTAAATAGAACTTACCAGCTATAAGACTACTTGTTGATTTATTAATACGAAATTCCATTTCTAAATATTTCGGTAGAAATGATGCAAATCCGATAACAATAAACATCTCTGAACTAATGCATAAACAGACCATAATATAAATTCGATTTCGAAGAAGTGAACCAAGTACACCAGTGAAATCTAGAAGGTGAGAAATAAATGTGGAGGAGAGTAAATAAAATAAATCAATAAATTATAAACGGTTTATTAAAGTAGACTATTGATAATTTTCAACTGTATTGGAGGGTAGGTAGACGATATTTTTATCATTTGTGACAATAATTATGATCTTAATCAATCGTTACAGGAATTTGACAACTAGCATCCACGAATAAAATTAACATCACTTAAATGCAAAACGATGTTGATGTTGAACTGACAGGGAAAGCCGATGAAACCTTAAGAACATCTATTCATATGAAATCTTACACAGAACGGTCAACTGACAAGTTTCCACATGGCTCCACAGGCGCCCGTCAAACAAAAACGATATTTAATTAAATTCCTTGCTACTCGTATGTAACGCATCAATAGCACCGACACTCTAGAAGAAGAATTAGGTCTTCTTGAATACATACGCACCGCGATGCATTGACAAGAACATCAGACCAATAGACCAGAAAAACAAAACGCTAATCTTCAGAAGCCTGAAAGTAAATATCTCGCATCTGACTACTTTTATGTGTATATATCAGTTCGCCTGTTTCTGTAGTACCAGATATATCGGTCATTCGATGCGTATCCTGTCAGAGAACACTGTCCAGCATGGTTGAAGAGAGGTGGCAGTAGTGTGGTGAGAGCTGGCTGCTAGCCGAATTGGTAGACAATAATTTACATCAATGTTTATGCCCCCAATATTGGTCATGAGAAAAATAAGAACAGAGACTGATTCAACAAGCAATCACATCAGACTTTGAGTAGGCGGATACAATTAGCTGATAGATGATCTGATATCCAAGAAATAGATACAAAGAGATATAAGACTAACTTTCTGTGAGAAACAACCAATCAGATGACTGTGTCTTTCTGCTAACAATAATCTATAATAATGTACATGGAAATCTATAAATATGTGTTGATTTCCTTAAAAAACGATCTGTTTTCTGGCCCTTGTCTTCTGTTGTTACAGTAGCTCCATAAGGAGCGAGATAATTAAACACCTCAGTAACACTAATCATTCTCTCTCAGAAACCTTCACCTTTCAAAGCGATCTACAGAGTGAAGTACAACCTACTAAAACAATATGCTTTCGTCTCCTCTGTGTTGCTGTAGATGTAATTATTCAGGTAGAGCAGAAAATTACTCAACTACTTCTACTATCACAGTGACAACACCTTATTGTCTTTCTGCTAACTTGATTTTTCTTTGTTTGTTTTTAACTCTACAACGCTTGTATTTCTTTCGAACTGTTACGTAATATCACGTTTTCCTCTGCTTCGGTGTACACATCCTGAATACAACTCATTCATTAAATTACTCATCCTATTTTTTTCCCTTCACGTTCCCAGTGGAACATAGGGCCTCAAGCTAGAGGTTTGAAGCTTCGGTAGCAGTAGTGTTTATTTTTATGGGATAAGGTTGCTAGCCTCATGCCCAACCTTCCCTCTTCATCAGTATTATTACTAGCTAAACAAGGTAAAGGTGTGCACCAGCCGGGGATCGAACCCCCGACCACATGCGTCGATGGCGAGCATTCTACCGCTGTGCCACTGATGCACACTCACCCTATTACTATTATTATTGTTCCCTTGGGTTCCTAGGGTAACATAAAGCTTCAACTGCACGTCTCCACTTGCTTCTGTCTTCTGCTGTGCTTTTCACCGGTATCCATGTTAGTCCATACTGTTTCAACTTCTCTTCACACGATCTCCTCTATGTCACCCTTGGACGTCTCACTCGCCACTTCCCTTTCGGGTTCCACTCGAGAAAGGGCCCTCAATGTCACCCGACGGCCTCCTCAGCGAGTGTCCAACACTCACCCTATTACGTAACTCTGATTCTTTAATTCAACTCATTTTGTTTACTGATTAATATATGCAACTATGATTACGACAACTTATCACTTCCATTACTATCTTCCTTTGTGAAAGAGTGGTATATCAATGCGATTGTATAGCTAAAGACAGTGAGTTCGCCGAAAAGAGACTCTACACTGAAATATGTGTTTTGTTCTTTTCAATAATAATTTATGATACTACAGTTTTTTAAGAGAAGTTCAAATCGATACCTATATGACACATTTATTTATTTAACTATTGATTGAAACTCAATTACGACACATAGGTATTTTCCACAAAAGAGAATTTTGAACTCATGATCCATTGACTAGAAGTCAAATACTTCAACCAATAATAAGCCAATAAATAAATCACAATACACGAAAGTTGTAAAGTCACATAAAAATTCTACTGTCCACCCGAAAAACAGAACAACACATTTATGCATATGTACATCGGTGATGCATCGAAACGACCGATTAAAGATAAAACATAACACATGTGTAACATGGTAACGATCTTCAAAAAACAGAAAGTAGAAACAACACTCAGATCACAGTTGGTCACTAATTAACAATGACTTGTAGATTGTCGCCCGCAAAAAAGATAACCATCAGTTACGTATATGACTCATCCGATGTTATTTTCACATTATGTTATTTCCATTCTATTTTTTGTTTCTATGCTCATTTGGATAACATTTCGTTTCATTATGAAATAAACAATGTGCGTCGGTGGCACACCGGTTGTCACTAACCGCTCGCCGATCATGCACATGGTCCAGGGTTCGATCCCCGGCAAATGCACTCCTTTACCTCGCTAAGTCAGAAATAAAACTGGTAAAGAGGAAAGGTTGGGCATGAGGCTAGCAACCCTATCCTGTAAAAATAATCACCACTGCTACCGAAGCTTCAAACCTGTACCTTGAAGCCGCCTTATGTTCCACTGGGAACGTGAAGGAATAAAAAATGAAACAAACAATAACCTTAGCGACTCTGCTTGCTGTTAAGTAAGTGTAAAATTATTGGATACATTCATGAAATAAATTATATTATATAATTATGATTGTATGGTTGTACCACAAATGAAATCAATCACAGAATAGAGCTCAGCCTAGATCACGTGTTTGGATTTTCCTTCATAGTGTTTTAGGTTTCACAAGAAAAACACTATTGGCTTAATCCAATTGAATATAATATAGTGTAATTCAGAAAACACTAAAAAAGAGGACAGTGTTTTCAATGGCTAGTTTACGGAGCAATATATCTGTCTGTCAAGACTTCGAAACTGGTTTTCACACTATAGACACTAGATTAGGCCTAAAGTGGAAATTACGCTAAACCTTACCTTCTCATCCCACGGTTTTAACATAATCATTCTGTTATAAATAACAGTATTCTGATACCCCCAAAAAAATATAACGAACGAAATGAAAATGGATCCGACGCAGGCACTGATGAGATGGTTGAGTGGTGACATCACTGATCAGGTACTAAAGTGGCAGCTGAATGGGAAACGATGAGTTGAAAGTGGTAACAGAGCTGACAAAGAAGCTATCACATAATGAGGAAATGAAAACTTACAGGCAATCGTGGAGTCAGATAAAAAACGATTGCAGAGAACACAGTGAAATGAAGATTTGCTTCTGGAGGTCTACATTCCTCCCGGAACCCAAAGGAATAATTATTATAATGATATTAATAAAGACTGTTGACTGACAGCACTCGTAGAAATTATGCCTATTACGTGAAATACTGAAACGGTTACTAATGTATGTGTAGAGCTTGGACACTGTGGCAGAATGTAATTCTATATTAGAGAAGTTTATCCCAAATATCACACAGTGACTCAGTATTATTAACTAGGTGACGTTTCCAGCAGGATTTATTGCTCGTAATCATTTCAGATTAGTCATATGGCTCCATCATTTGCTTTATATAGTACTATCGTATAAAGAAGGAACATCACAGGCCTTACATAGGATTCCCAATGAAGCTGGAATTACGGTGATATTTAAACCAAACAACCAGCCAACCACATCTCTCAGAGATAAACTTCGCCAGTTTAAGAATCCAACACATACAATTAAGAAGAAGAATATAATTTACCAAATACGATGTAATCACTGCGATGTCAGCTATCATAGGTCAGTCAAACTACCTGATCAGGGTCATCTAGATTATTGGGACACAAAAGACTACATAGGCCTAGAATGATTGACCCCACTTAAGTCAAATAACCTACACAATAGAGCTCAGTCATTGCATTGCATTCACTTGCATATCATCACAAAATAGGGTGAGTGGGACAGGGTGAGAGTATTGAAAAGCAACACAGTTAGGTGGAGAGACAGACAGGTTAATTACTGAAGCCTTGTTTATCTATTCAACATGTGCACATGTGCAATCGGAATGACGCAACGCCTACATAAGAGATATGGGGGTTGGCAACAAACAACCGAGGGAATTTGGAGAGAAAGGAAGAGGGAGAAAATATATTCAAGTATTGTTTTGTAAGGATTTGATTGATTGGTTACAGGATTTCATCATGAACTGACATTGGTTAGAGAACCATTGGAAAACCTGGGAGTACTGGACAGCTGTTACGTCCTAGAAAATATACATATGAGACAAATTGTGAATCAGTGTGACTAAATTGATACGATTACGATTGCCAATAATGTATGTTCGAAACGTCATCCAGTTTTCAATACTGCATCACTGTGTGATAATTAAAATAAACTTATCTAATATGGAATGAGATTTGTTACATCCACATAAATAGGCCTTATATCAATAAAACTGTAATCGTGTATCAAGTGAGGGGAGACAGCAATAATTATACCTTTGCAGAACATGTAATTAAAATTGAAACAAACCAACATTGCATACATGTCTTTATACATTTTACTTATAAATTTCCCTTCTCACCTTAGTGTCTAAACTACGTTTTTTTTAAAAAACTTTTTCGTCATATAACGATCCATTCATTTGATTTTAATCGTAGCCACGTTTACACGTCGTCGTCTAAAGGAAGGCTTGAAATGTATCCCACTTATAATTACCAGTAATTACTGGAATAATAATACAAATAAATGTAAAGCCATTATTCAACAAACAATTCCACCTATGTAAACTTAGTGATCACTTAGTTACTTTGTGAGAGGTGAGTCAAATAAGTTGTCGCCAAAACAAATTCAACCTCAACCCCTTCATTTGTGTCTACAGTAAATAGATAGAATGGAGGCGGTCAGTTACGACTTGAATTCCTACAGATAGTCTTGTGTGACTTTGTATTACGTGCTTAGAGGAGTGTTGTGATCCCATAAGATACCACATTTGGCCGTTTCAAAGGCGTTTCTAATCAACCTTTATAGACAGTTGAAATAACTTATGTTTTTTTAAAATTCAATCCTGATTTTCCCGTCGATTTATTGGACTAAAATATCTGGTCTCTGTCACCCAAGTGGTGTGGTGTTTGAAGCTATGAGTACTGAATTCGAGCCCCAGTGGGAGCACCACTGCTCACTAGAGAATGCAGGCACATTCGGCTGATAAGTACCGAATAGGATGAAATGCGCATCGTAGATTCCACTGCTAGTTATAATCCATCAAGTTTCTTCAAGCTGGAGTATCTGTTGTAGAGTTTGCTATAATATGTGCGAAAACACCTTGCAATTAGGTTTGTACTCAACCATTTTGTGGAGGCGTGAGTGTGTGTGTATGTGACAACACCATCTGGCTGCCAGGATTTCAACAAACCAGACAGGTTATATATGTCCAAACCAAGTTCACTTTTAACAGTTTGAAAAAATTTGGGCATTGGTATGATATTCACTAGTATAAAAGCTTTTGTATTTTCCAATCAATAGAAAACCAAACGATATCGGTTCTACTGATGTTTTGCTATTTAATGGTAATAGTCTTATCAAAATATTATTAAGAGCTAAGAGGTGAGAAAATAGACTTAGGTCAAGTTAAAAGAACATATTGAAGGTCAAAACAACAATGACGATCACTAAACCAAACAAGAGAGTTAACAGTACATCTACCCTGTTATCAAAACAAAGTCTACAAAGTCGGGTGTAGCTTGTTGAATTTTCTATAGTTGATTTGTAAGGATTGGATTTGTTTTTACGAGTTGATCACGGATTGATATCAGTTAGAGAACCATTGAAAACCGGCTGGGACTACCGGACGGCGGTTTCATCCTAGTTTGGGAATCACTGGCAGAACTCACCCACTGGGGTTCGAACCCAGGACCTTCCGGTTACAAGGCAAGCCCGTATACCATTCAGACACTGGGACCCGATAAGTGTTAGGGTTGATTTTATCATTTCATGGGGGAGGGGATGTTCTAACAGGTTCAAATTCTGTTTTAGCCCAACATTCCATTTGTTATGAAGTGCTCGCTTTGTTTTCCATTCATTGGGGAAAAGCACAATAATTGAAGTGAGGCAGGGTTTCAACCCGTGACTCAACAATTGAAAATTGTGTGAATGCTTCTAGGTAGAGTAATTATATAGAGATTAGCTTCACCTCTCATCATCAAACCATTTAAGCTATCTATCCAGTAACAAATGGTCTTCAGACCGAAAAATAATATAATAATGATGATAAAAACTATACAGATTAAGGGAAAAACTTGATTAGTCGCCGACTAGTCCTCTGGCATCAATTTACATTTGACAGGGGCAAACCATATGTCAAATATCCTCAAACTTTATCCCTATGTTTACGGAATACTGCATTTTGTCAGTGACGTCACACCCGAATGGAATAACATCGTCTATATATATTAATTATAACAATGAGACATTTCCTCTTCAGCAAATCAATTCCTGAAGAAGACGAAGTCGAATTCAATGAGAAACTCTGATACTGGTTTCTTAGCCCTTTACTCATTTGACAGTAGGAATGCCAATGAAATATTCTAAACTTGAAAGCAAAACTGATACTTTTGTAAAGTCGAGCTGATCAGATAAAAGAAGTGAATGATGAAACTAGAATTTAATTAGTAGATGGTGACTAGCAGTGGAATTCATGATGCGCATTTCGTCCTATTTGGAACTCGTCAGACGGACGTACCCGAATAGGACTGGATTCCACTGCTAGTCACCATCCACCAACTAAATTCTAATTATGCCCAGACATCGTCAAAGCATCTGCACAAGAAGCCGACATGTCACCTGAGACCGAGCACTTCGGTCCAATCAATTGACGGGAAAACTAGAGAATGATGAAACATTCACAAATCAAATAACAAAGCTCAGAAGACACAAAATAACTTCCAATTCACATGATAACTAATACGTGGCAAATCAATGTAAAACCACCGTACATATGATAATCACTTCCAGCTTCAACATTTCAAAAAAACGCATACATGCTTTCCTTTCCTTTCCTTTGCGCTCCGAGTAGAACATACGGCTCCAAAAGTTTGACCTTTGAAATTTCAGTAGAGGTGGTACTTCCCGCAGGGTGATGATACAAACCTCACGCTCAACTTTCCCACTTTATCGGTCTAACTACAGACTAAGTGAGCTTTGGGAATGCACCGGTCAGGAATCGAAGCCCGGAAAACGTGCGTGGTTGGCAAGCATTCCACTAATGGATCAATGACACTTCAAAAAACGCACAAATTTAGGTAACATTGAATGTAATGCTACTAAAGAAATAGGCAAATACATGTGGGTGAAGAGCAGCGGAAATCTTTCAAATTCTGCAGGTTAATAAAGCTATATTAGTGAAAGTCCCCACAACCAGTGGATCTTAGCGTCCCAAAAGCTCTAACTACATAAAGTACACTACACCACGAATTAATAATATGTTTTCAGTTGACCACCTTTAACCATCTCTCACTTGTTCATTAAGGAGTTCAACATCACAGCATGAATAACACATCTAAGGCATCGTAATAGAAATGAAGAATCCCTACCTCATCGGTTAAATTACTTTCCTCACGTAACACTTTACGTCTAGTCAGTCTACGTCTAGTCGTCTGGTAAGACATAAGGTTTTGCCTTACTAATTTAAACTTCATTTAACTTAATACGACTTAAATGTGACAGAATATTTATGTTCAACAGAATTTGCGTCGCATGTAGACACTAAAGTGACAGAATATATATATATATAGTTAATACAGAAAACAATACTTTGAAAGAAACCTTTTAGAAAAAATAAAATAATCTTTACTTACCAATCCAAGACCGATTTGAATTGAAAGCTCGACATCGAAAATGAGGATTACAATTATGACTTTTACGTTGACTTCGCCGCGAAGAAGAAAAATCAGACCACGGACTCTGAAAAAAAACAACAAAATAAATGAAGGAAAACAAATTTAACAACCAATTAATTATCGATTTCCGAATATAATACAGAGACACTTTTTAAAAAAATCTTTTTAGTGATGCTTATTGTATATACCAGTTGTTATTTATTTATTTATTTAAAACTAAACCCCAGTACTACAAGGCAATCGATGTGTATGCCGCACAAAGTTAAGTAAGACCTCTAGATACGTTGGGGGGTTCAATAGTAGAATGCTCGCCAACCACACCTAAGTGGTCCGGGGTTCAATTCCCGATCAATAGTCGCCTAGATTTCATCTAGCCGGTAGTAAGCTCGGTGAAGAAAGAAGGGTGGGTGTGAAGCTAGTAATCTCACCCTGTAAAATGATATACTACCTCTACTGAATATTTTGATTGAACATTAGTAACTAGTGTGATGTGTCTAGTCCTTTCTTCGCTGCAGACTGAATTCTATCAATCAGGTTTGTAATGTGGCCACCACCCTAGGTAGCTCGCCATCACGGCGCACATTGACTTGATGATATTAGATGGTTGGAGGCAATCGGCAGGAAGCCTTGGACCTAGGTTTCGTGCTAGTTGGAACTCACCAGTCAGCAAGGCGTATCTGCAGCCTTGAAGGAATTCATGTCCCTTCTGAGATTCGAACCCGCGTCACCCAGTGCTGCAGTCAGAGACGTTATCACTGAGCTATTCAGGCTTGCGATTGATCGAACTCGCGTCACTTAGTGCTGTAGTCAGATGGCGAGCTATCTAGAATGGTGGCCACATTACAAACCTGACTGATAGAATTCAGTCTGCACCAAAAAAAGGACTAGACACATCACACTAGTTACTAATGTTCAATCAAAATATCCACTACAGTCCTACAGTAGGTCAATTGCGAGACAGAATAGCTCAGTGGTAACGTCTCTGACTGCAGCACTGGGTGATGCGGGTTCGAATCTCAGAAGGGACATGAATTCCTTCAAGGCTGCAGATACGCCTTGCTGACTGGTGAGTTCCAACTAGCACGAAACCTAGGTCCAAGGCTTCCTGCCGATTGCCTCCAACCATCTAATATCATCAAGTCAATGTGCGCCGTGATGGCGAGCTACCTAGGGTGGTGGCCACATTACAAACCTGATTGATAGAATTCAGTCTGCAGCGAAGAAAGGACTAGACACATCACACTAGTTACTAATGTTCAATCAAAATATTCAGTAGAGGTAGTATATCATTTTACAGGGTGAGATTACTAGCTTCACACCCACCCTTCTTTCTTCACCGAGCTTCTAACCATCTAATACCTCTAATGAAATGTCAAAGCTTAAGCTTGAAGCCCCATATTTCATTAGGAACGTAAAGAAATGAAAAAAATAGTTATGTGAATGAGGAAAAGTGTAAGGGTGCAACAAAAGCAAACTAAAAATCCTATATTTTCATTAAATACAATTTTAAAATGTTCACTACTATTGTCGCACTACTTTTGATGAGGGAAGCTACAAGAAAACTGTAGGATTATCGCTGATTGATTACTACTTTACTTAGATTTGATAACATCCATAAATTTTAATTGGATGATGATTCTGGACACTAATCTGGAGATGGTGATGTACAAGTGGATAATGAGATGTGACCCATTGGCAGGAATACTCAGCTGTCATCTGATGGGCCACGGGTTCGGATCTCACCCCAACTACTTCAACCTGGTTAACTGGGTAGTAAGTATCACCCTCAGATAATGAGTGTGTCTGTTGACCTAAGAGATGTGAAATTTGCTCCGGGTGATTGAGATTCGTAACCCGATTTCAAGATATAACACCAGGAGATAGCGACTTCCCCACTTCATACCCAGTCACCCCCGAAAACTAGGTACGGCAATCACACAGAAATGATAAATTAGCCAGCATCAAAATAGTTATAAAACACAGAGGTATGAATGAACGATGTATCCCTAGTAAAAATAGGAATTGGATGGTAAAATATAATCCACAATCTGGATTACTGCCGAAACTTCAGAGCTTCAAGCCTGGCTCCCTATATTTCACAAAAAACTCACGGAATGCAGAAAAATTACGACGTGAATAGATATCAAGTGATCTCATACTTTTGTTTGCCTGTTTTTTTCTTACACAATGAGTAACTTATACAATGATACGAATGGCTAGGTAAAAATGATGCATATTAATTAACCAAGTTAAAGTAAAAATATGTCTAAATTGAAATTTACAAATACAAAAAACGTTTTGAATGGTTCATCAGATGAAATAATACTGAATACACACTTCTGAACATAAACGGTGATAATATAATATTGAATACAACTGGCTACAGTATAGAGTTGTTCAACAGAAGTAGTGTTAAGTGCTACCTTTTTACATTCCAAGTGGCATATAGAGCTTCAAGCATCAAACTTTGAAGTTTATTTGAGTAGCGCTTATGTTTTTGCTGGGTGAGGCTAACAGCCTCACCAATAACCTTCCCTCTTTACCGGACCTACTATCAGCTAGGCGAGGTTAACGAGAACGTTGGCCGGGAAATGAACCCAGACCACGCGAGTGGTTAGCAGGTATTCTAGCCCTGAACCATTAATGCTTTGAAACCCAACAACAAACATAAATCCTGGTATGCCGTTTCAACAGAAACGAAACAAACACAAAGAAATGTAGATGAAAGAAGGCCTAGTTTATTTTTTTTTTCTATTCAAGTTAATAATTCGAGTTTATATTTTATTTTAAAACTACAAAAACAGACTGTTATTTAAGGTTTTCCATTTATTCTAGACTACCGAATACGGCACGGAATTAAGTCATTTATTTAAAAAAAATATGAGCTGTTCAGTCTAACTCTTAACATCTTCATTCACCCTATACACACATAACTCCCAATTCATCATCGACTTCAATGTGCTATAGTAACAGAAGTATAAGACTGAATTGCGGGAAAGAAGATAGTGCGCTAAATGCCCAACCTAAAAGTATCAATTCAGAAGAAAGTTGGCTATCAGTGACAGATATGTAAAGCGCTATAAATTGCCTGTAATATAATTCACAAAGTTGAAGAGTCTTCATTTTTACATTTCTATTTTGATTATGATCTTTTCTCTTTTGCTTTGAGGTCACTTTTCAACTTTTATTGTTTGTTTACTTCTACTCAACTTGGTGAGTCACAAAAAGCATTTCCAATAGTCTGAAAACTTTCATCAACGGTTGTATTCGCTGCCTCAATACTGAAGATCAGGTGGTGACCAGAAAGAATTAGCTACAAGGAACTACTCTGGGAACGAACCAATCAAAAGTCTATTGCTGAACAAATATATGAAAGAAAATGAAGATGGATAGGACACACGTTGAAGAGACCGTTGAATGATATTACTCATCAGGCCATTGAGTGGAATCAAAATGGGAAACGACGAGTTGGGCATGGTTCTGAAGGTGACATGGAGGAGATCGTGTGAGGGGGAGATGACAGCCTATAGGCAATCGTGGAGCCAGCTAAAGAGGATTAGAAAGAAGAGGACAGAATTGGGATGTGGTGTTGGAGCCTTCACGTTTCACTTGGAACCTAATGGAATAATAATAACACTCGACTTTCAGCCAATAAGTTCTGGAGTCCGAATCCCTTCCTATCATCTACTTTGCAGTCCAACCAATTAGGCTGTGTTATCAGCCGTCCAACAATAAACATGACCACGTATAGACTAGCACAGGGAAATTCTACTCTGGGCAACTGAATTCTTACTTAGGTGTACATATCAACTCACTCAACTCATAGCAATGTTACTTAACAACCACTAGCTATTCCATGCAGTTGGTAATGAGCCACACCAATTGACTGAGAGTTGCTTATATTGACTTGGGCTGCCCAAATCTCTGTACGTGGAGCGGATTTCAAACATATAACCTATTGAGTGCCAGTCGAGAGTCTAAAACCAATGAGCCTCAGTCCCACTACATATAGATATCTAAGTTGTAAGGAGTTATGTCGATTATGTTTAATCACATGAAAAAACGAAAGAATAGTATAACCAAGATAAATAAAAAGGAGGTAGCCACTGTTCCACGCTACTTACTCGTTTCTACAACAGAGAAAAAAATGATACCGCTAAATGCTAGAACTGTCAACATACTAACGACTAGAATGAATTCTAAACTACTTCTTACAACCACATGCTATTATACTGAATAACTGAATTATAAAGCAGTATCAGCAATTTACTTTTACAGCATAAAATATATGATACTAATTCATCGATCAATAAACACTGATAATGCCTATAAAAGTCGTTGAAGAAGACCGGAATCAATTCAGCACAACAAAAACACATGAGTGAATGTATTTTTACTCAACAATCACTTCAAATTCTATGCTATTGGGAATGACTTACACCTCTTGTGTGAGTGCTAGTGATACTCTATCCGACTTCCAAAACTCTGACCGGTGGAGAGTGGTTCTAACCCTTGTCTCACTGGTTGGAATTTGAACACTTAAACCAATGAACTACACCTTCACTCAGAGAATAAATAACACATAATGTAACAGAATACTATTCATTAAACTTATACAAGTTTAAGTAATAAATGGTATGTTACATTTAACAGGTGATTGATTATTAAACTCAAAGAAGATGGATCTGGAATCTACTGTTTGAACGGTAACCACTCAAATTAATGAATCAGACATTCAAAAAAAGATTCAAGTCCAAAAAAGGATGCAATGAATGCCTTAAATAAAAATTCATTTAGATTTTCCATATGTACCTTATTACTGTCAAACCTAAGATGATGTTTCAGAAGTAAGCATGAATCGACTACTACTTTGAGGAAACCAACTGAAAAAATTGCATCATGGGTAAATTTTGTTTCGATAAAGTCTCACAGTGTTATGCAGTAATGTTTACTGATGACGTTTCGAGCACAATTTATTGCTCATAATCATATCAAGGTAACCACACAACTTTCTAACTTCATTTATATAGTTTCATTGTTTTTCACTTGATTTGATTGGTAGTA